AAATATCTGTGATTTATAAAATACTGCTTTATTTATCATTTTCTTAAACTATCTGATATTACAAAATCATCACAAGCATCCACACTAGAACCAGTTATCTGATGCAGTAGCTGGAGATTGTTGCAAGGCACTGTGTTGGCTGAGGATCAGAAGCATGGCCATGCAAAGAACCTCAACAATTCCAGCATGAAAAATGACCACATGGTGATTTAAAATCTAAACTGTAAATCCTTACACCAAAACCATAATGGTAGAAAAGTCAAAAGAAAGTTATACATCTTTAATAGGTTGCTTGAACAGCAGAATTCAATTCTCACTTAATCAGATAGAAGGATATTTGAGCTAAGAGACGTGATCATCCTAAATTATGTCTGAGACATAAATATGTAAAAACACTCCCTCCATCTCACCAATAAGGGTAATGAAACATTCATTCAAAAGCTTGCAATGTTCTGCAATTCTGTCACTTTTTAACAAGTCCTCTTTGAATTTATTACTCAGTTTTAAAGGACATTTATTTTTAACTGTGCTTTCGACTAAGCATTTATAGCCTGATTTGCGATAAACTGTTTATAATGTTCACTTTCATATGATTGTTAGGAATGCCTGTAATTGTTTTGTAAACGCTCACCTCTTATAATTAAAACAGGCAAGTTTAAGAAAGACTATACAGGGCAAATTAGCTAGAGTTCTTTGATAATTTGTGCAGACTAATAATCCAGACAAGTTCCAAACAGCTCATTAATCACCCTTATATATAAGGACATGATATAACAGACTTTCTTTCTATTCATCTATTTCGCACCTTTAACTTTTCATTGCCATTAATTTCCTTTACCCTAGCACAGTTCCAAGACAAAACTTGTCAGTTATGGAAGCACATTCAGGTGCTAAACTTTGAAAGTATAAACATCTGCGATATGCAATAGGCAGAAAGATTTCCATTAGCAATAGGTATGGCTTTGAGGAGAGATGCTCCTTTATTTTTCTCAACAAATGTTGATATGTAGACCAAGGCCAAAATCTTCAGTGTCAAGAGAAAGTATTAGACATAGGAAAATCTGAGATTGACTGTTATTTGTTAACTACAGGTATGAAGAAATATTGGCAAAGTTATGGCATGAGTTGGCAGATTAGCCATAATCATATTGAATGATGAAGCATACTTGAGGGGCTAAGAATAACAGGTGCTTTGTTTAAGATTTGCTATGTTATCATACCAGTATCTACACCTTCAAAGCCAATATTCCTACTTCAGGTATAGTGCCTAGAATTGAATGCAGTCCTCCAGATGGGGCTTGATTCAAGGCTCTTTACAACTAAAGCACAACATCCTCCCCTTTGTATTCCAGCATCCTTGAAATGATTCCAAAATTACAGTATTCCAGATCTGGTCTTCGCAGCACCTTGTACAGTTATAATAATTCCAGATTAACCTCTTAGTCTAACTGCCTGTTTTAATGGTTTATATGTATGGACAGCCAAACCCATTTACCCTGCACAGTCCCTAACTTTACCATTTGGAAAATGCTCTAATTATTTTTTTTCTTGGAGATCTCAATCATGGATTCCATCCAACCTACATTCCAATCTTAATACTGTTGTCCTGATTTCTTCCAAAATTAAATATAGTCCATTTGAATGTCCATAAATTCAAGTATACAAATAATTCTATGTATTCATAGGACAGTGTTTTGTCCAGTACTTCAACATAATATAAGTTACAATCCGACCTGAGCCCAAGCCAACCACAGTGACTGATTGCTCGGCCTAATGTTTGTAATACAGTGCGGTTCTCTATTTTCATATATACCATAGAACCTGTTCCCAGTTTCAAATTGACAGGAGGCCACTTTTGTACAGCTCTAAACACTGTAACCAAGATCAAAATCTTCAAAATCTGTGTTACTCCCTTAATGATGTCCTTGAACAGCAATAATCACAGAGACAATTGTTTAAAGGCAAAATACTGTTGATACTGGAAATTTGAAACTAGTACAGAGAATGCTGGACAAACTCATAAGGCCCGGCAACATCAATGGAGAGAGAAACAGAGTTAACATTTCAAATCCAATATGACCTGAAGAATCATACAGATGCTGCCAGACTTGCTGAGTTTCTTCCGCACTCTGTGTTTGTTATATGATTGCTTGCTTCCCTCCCTTTGGATACATATACAACTATAATCCATAAAAAATAGAAATAAGAGAAGGCCAATCAGTTTCTCAAGCCTGCTCCGCTATCCAGTAGAATCATGGCTGATCTGCCATTCTGCATGAACACTTTCCTACCTTTTTCCCATAACCCTTGATTTCCTTACTGATCTATCTCAGCCTTAAATATACATCACGTCTCTGCTCCCACCCCAATTACCCCTCTACAGCCCTCTGTGGCAAGGAGGTACAAAGGCTCACAACCAACTGAGAGATGAAATTCCCCCTCATCTCATTCGTAAATTGGCACCCCGTTATTTTGAGGCTATGCCGTCTAATCTCTCAGCATTCACCCTGCCAAGCCTTTTAAGAATCCTATATGTTTCAATGAAATTGCCTCTCATTCTTCTAAATTCCAGCGAGTAGAGACCCAATCTGTTTAACCTTTGTTCAGGGCAATTCCTCCATACCAGAGATCATGTCTCCAAAAAAAATCTTTCCTTCAATAAATGGACCAAAACTGCTCACAGTTCTCCAGAAGTGGCATCACCAGAATCTTGTACACTTGTAGTCAGACTCCCCTACTGCTGTACTCCAAACCCTTTTGAAATGAGGATCAACGTTCCATTCGTCTTCATGATGACCTGCTGCACCTGTGTGCTAGCTTTCTGTGTTTGGTGCACAGTACCCTCTGAGTCGCTTGGTGTTGCGGCTTTCTGCAGTTTTTCTCCATTTAAATTATCTTGTTCTCCACTCCAAATATAGCTTTATAGGGAATCTTAGAATACCTGTGTGCTTTTATTATTACCTTTTATTAGCTTAAAGACAAATTGTGCGTAAATATGTCAGAAAGAAACAGGCTACAAACACATTATGCAGAAGATAGTGACCATTGCCTTATGCTTTCGCATCTGTTTAAAAACATTACCGAAATATCGTCATCTCGGGCTAAGTATCAATTGCATATTTGACACGTACGGAATGCATGTACCATCCAACATCGATTGGAATTTAGGAAATTTTGATCAGAGATATGTCCAATTGACCCGTCTATACCGTTTTATAATCGAAAGCAAACGGGTTACGAAAGCGTTTTATGTGGATTTTGTTTTCCGACTGTAAACTCAAATTTTACAAGCCAGCAGCGCATTCTCTGTTTGTAAGAAGTTATACACCAAACTCGCTTCTGCATTGGTGGACTGGGCCGAATGCGAGGATTTCGTGAATCCTAAATTTAGTCCTTAATCTCACACATCAGTGGTAGAGTGTAACTGTCTCTTAGATTCATAAAAATAGTCAGTGCTAAATCTAGGTAAATCTCTCCTTCTGGAGTGTGTTTTGTAATAGAAAAGTCCATGGCATAGTAAAAGCATATATATTTCAATTGAAATTGTTCAGATACACATTCCTTTTGAGCGAGGATGGATTTAACAAGTGACACTATAACTGCGAAGAACTTTCAACTAAATGTTTGCATTGAAGGAAGAAACCGCTTCATGATACTTTGCACCTCTTTGCGCCGTCAATGGTTGTGTCGAATGGAGTTGTTCCTCATCTACATAACAATCTGAAAAACTAGTGGGCTGCGTCCCTTTCGCGTGGTTTTATATGTTAAGAGTTAAAGCCATCGCCTCTATACATGGCTAAACAAAAATCCAAGACGCCAGCAAAGTAGTTTTATTTTGTAAATTCCAGAAGGCCATCTCATATCAGTGTGAATTTGTGCTTTTAAGATAGTTTAAGATCGGAGTTGTTATCATTCAATATCCCACAGAACCAGGTAAGCATAGTGAGATAAGGTTCAAAATTTCTCTTTCAGAATCTTTTCTGAAGTGAGAGGGTACATCTTGGCCCGCAAGATTTAATCATTTCCATGATCACGAGGGTGGTTTCATTTTCGAGGGACTTGTTTTATCTTTCTCAAAGTATCAGGAATGTACAACTGAAATCAGATGATCGTTACACTTTGAAAAGCATTATTCTTCATTTAATTTCTTGCCCAATTTGAGCAAATCTTGAACCAGCAGATGAGCAAACTATCTCGCAAGCACACACTTTGTATCTGCCTGAAAGTGGCCTAAGGAGTTCCAAGCATTTCCTTTCTACCATTGGTTGATTGCGGCCAGAACGCATTGAAAAATTCACTAATTTGCTTGGCTTTATGCAAAGATTGTATTCAAGGTCAGATTTAAAGTACACCACAGAGGTAAATGATATAGTAGTGTGTCTTTTTTTTAATATAATGTAAAGAAGAACTGCAGATGCTGGAAATCTGAAACAAAAGCAGAAATTGCTAGAGGAACTCAGCGGGTCTGGCAGCATCTGTACAGAGAAAAGAGAGTTAATGTTTCGAGTCCAGTGACCCGTCTTCAGAACGGGTATGTGGTTTCTTTTATAGTGATTATGCCCGTTGAGGTTTTTGTTTCCCAAAAACTAGACTTCATTCATAAAATTCCTGGGAGCACATAACAAAACATATTCCGTTGAAAATTTCAGATTTGCAATAAAATTCAACTTCTCTCCAAATTGCAGGTGCCTCAATGAAATTGTAATGCTCTTGGTATTTACAATTTATTGCAGAGATGGACTGCTCTAGCAATAGGAAGTGCCACAGAGCAGAAAGGTGGCTTTTTTAAAAAAAACCAGCTCTTATTTGAATGCAAATCGATGACCAGGCGGTGCAATGACGTCGCGGCGCCTTTGGTACACCGTTAGTAGCAGGGTCCTGTAAACAATGGTTAATCGTGTGCGATAGGGGCAGTTCAGTATGAGCCTCACCAGACTAATGCCAGTCCAAGTAGACGGCCGCATCTGGCTGCAGCATGCACGCAAACCCTAACCCTAGCCATGTATGTGGGCTATATATTGGATAAAGAAGTAAGCATGTACCCAGGACCCGTTAGACGACCAAGCATCAATTTATCTACACAGAACTTCGTTTCTCCGCCACAGTACTCGGAGTACGCGGGATATCATGTGCCTAATATGGAAAGCCATCCCCAAGCCTCAGTGTCTTGGACCTCTCCGTATGGTCCACCAAGAGAGGACTGGAGTTCTTATGGGCCCGGTCCATCGAACACAGTGCCAGTTCAGATAAGTAACTCTACTCCAGGGCAGGTTTCTTACAGCTCGCCTGACTATAACGCCATGAACCCCTCAGCTGGAGGCATCCTTCCTCCTTTAGACGCAATCTCGGGGGGGCAAACGTCGCCCAATAGTCAGAGGCGCAATCCTTATGAATGGATGAAGAAAACAGCGCAGATCTCTGCTGCAGGTAAGAACTCTCTAATACTTCAAAAATCTCCTGGTTACGTACAATTCTGGGCCCAGGTAAAACAGTTGCATATTAAACGGTCATAGCAACAAGGAGGGCTATGGTCAGAAATACATCAGTAGTTTGTAGTTATTGTATTTAACTAAATTAGAAATACGAGTGGCAATTTTGGCTTCTTAAAATGTATGGTGATTTTATTCATTTTTGGTTTTCTGTGGAATTGGAATCTATCATTAAATGTCGATTGCGATGGGTGTCCTGGGTAAAGATCGTTCCATGCGGTCATTTTTACAAGGGATCCTTTGTCTTTTGTTTTGGAAAACGTTTATAGAAATGCGTTTCATCTCTCAATCTGCTGGGCCGAGTATGAAGCGTTTGTGTTAATCCTCGGGCTCTCTGTTAGAGTTTTACTGTTAGGGTTAGGCTGTCCGTTGCGTAGAACTCAGGAAGGGCCAGGCTGAACATGTGTGCTGAACCCTGCCGCAGAGTTGGTTTCCATACTCTATGACTCTATATTACAAAGAAAAAATCAGGATGTGGCCAATTCTTACTTTCAATTACGCGGACTGGGGCTTTTGGATTTTGTTTGAAAATTTGATTTTTATGAGATTGGCAAAATGTTGAAGTTTTATAACATCGACGTAGCACCGTTTGAAATCATTGCAGTTACGGAGCTTTTTTTAAAGAAAAAAGTACTGGGTCTGAGGGAACTGTACCCAACCTAAACCTGAGCCCTTGCCTATTACAGGGCACGAAATCGGGCCAGGCCCCGGAGTTCCATTGAAATTGATGGAATGGAAACGCTCAGGCCGGTGATTCATACCCCCCAATGCGTTTAAAAAAAACATGAAAGGCCGGCCAAGTCCTTCGTGTGTCCCATCCAGCAATGTGGCTGCACGGAATACCTTCAAATGCCTGGCCATCAAGGCTCTGCGTGTGAAAGTAAACTACTTTGTGTAAGATCGTGCAATCCGAAACTGCTACTACCTCCGCATGGACTAACAATAACAGGAATAATGGGAGGTGATGTGGAGCAGGTCTGAAAGGTTTGTTGGATCATTGCATGCTGAAGAAAAGCTGAACAGTGATATGTGGAGGCTGCCTTTCTTTCGATGTCTGTTTATGACAGACTGAACTGGTTGGTGTAAAATTGCTTGGGTGAGGAAATACGAGTGGTTCTGTCTTACACCCTTGAGCATTAGCCAATTGAGATAAGAAATTGAACCATCCTTCTTCAGGCGATGAGCTTCGTTGGTATTTCTGGTTTACTGAATCACGTTTGAAAGGGTTTGAAAATAAACGCTGTGATTTGGAGTCAGTTTAAAAATCATTATTGAATATCAATTAAATCCAGGTTTGCTCACTGAGGCTTTTTAGTGTTTTCCCGCGAGCGAACGCAACTGGTCAAATGATCGGATCTCGTCCCCACTATCTTAGGCCAATGTCCATTGCTTAAAATCCCTGGGCCATTGCTTAAAATACTCAAGGAAAACACTTTGATATTGCACAATGGTTAGAGGATCTTTAACAACAACTAATTTGACACATCTCCACACATTTCGAAAAGCACGTTGAAACTTACTGTCTAATTTAAATAAAAATAAAAAAAATGTGGAAGGAACTCAGCAGGTCTGGCAACATATATGGAACGAGTAACGGACAGAGTTATGAAGAAGTTATATTGGACTCAAAAATATTAAATAAAGAAAAAAACTGCGGATGCTGGAAATCAGAAACAGAAAGAGAAATTGCTGGAAAACTCAGCAAGTCTGGTAGCATCTGGGGAGAGAAATTAGAGTGCACTCTGTTTCCACAGATGCTTTCAGGCTTGCTGAGTTTTTTTTTTCAGAAATCTCTATTTTTGTTTCAAAATATTAATTCTTCTTTTCTCCACAGGTGTAGCCTGTGCTGAATTTCTACAGCATTTTCTGTTTTTATTTCAGATTTCAAGCACCGTAGTATTTAGTTTTTATTTTTCCAATTTAAATAATCGGACTAACAGTGGCGAGCTGTTACGGTCGGGAAATGGACCGGAAGGTGTTAGTTTCAGACTCGGTTTTGGAAGGGCCAACTTAGACGCGGGAACCAATCCCTCTAAGCGCCTACTGTAAGGTTACACAGAGGTTACACAGTGTGTGAACAAACCTGGGTCCCTCTTCGCAAGCTCCCAATGTTAGTCCTACCCAGGGTGTTGCTTCCACCTTGTTCCTGTTGTCAATGCTGTGTTAACACTCCTTCAAAACAACAGATTTCTGGAGCTAAACAAACCTCTTCGCTATTATAATTTGCGTGAAGGTATTGTTTTTAAAGAAAAGTTTCCAGCAGGGGTAACAAAACCAGATTTTCTTTTTTTATAAGCGACAGTATCATTCAATTGGGACACTGGTACCAGATTCCAGTGAGAGAATCCCATGCAAATTGCAGGAGGTGGGAATGTAGCCAGGCGCCGGTCTCGGTTTGAATGCTAATTTGCCATCCTGTAAACGAGCTGTGAGGTCCCGTTTCTTCAGTCACCACATTGTTATTTGTCATATTCAGGCGGCTTGCCCTTTCAACACTTTGCTAGCTTTGATATGCGCCCTGTTACGCTTCCTAACTCCTCATTATCTGGGAACATGGAGGCTTTATATTACCGGAAAGGGTGACGATTTTCACAATAAATAATGAATCCTGTCCTTGTAGCATTGTCTGGCTCGCAATGTCTCCCGAATTTTATTACCAAGGTGAATAATGCGAGTGCGGATGGCCGCGTTATAAACCGAGGTCATATTTACATAGGCTTCGGGTAACCTGTTGAATTTTAACCCTTGGCACACCCGCAAGACAGGTCAATTTTTGTTCAAATGCAAATATGTTTTATCTGTGACCTGGGGTGTGTAAGTAAATTATAAATCAAACACTCGTTTCTGATTTGGAATAAGGAGGTTAGAAACGACTTCGAAGAATTCCCTAGAAATTAAATACATTTAACCATTAGAATTGTGAATGAAACATATTAATCCAACCTGCACTTAATAAGTGAACAAAATTTCAATAAATACAAATGCGAAGGTTAAAAATTCGAAGAATGTCGGGTCATGCTCGAAATCCTCAACACTTTGGTCAGGAACTGTAAAGGAAGTGCTTGCAATCATGTAGGAAAGAATGAGAGTCCATTTTCTGTTTGTTAAATTGTCCATTTTGAATGACAGTGACGATCAACTCTCTGGTTCCTTTTGGAACATTAAACCCGTTCAGAAGGAACTGCACCACACATGAATTGTGCATTAGCTAGAAGCTGGTCAACAGCCTGGACAAAAAAGATTCAATAATAAAGCATAGAATACGAATTAACTGCAAAATGTTCTGGATCCTAGAAACGGTCTGAATAGAACTGATATATTTACAAGTAAACGTAAGGTGTTTTATACTGAAGAGGTCATTTTTGGCCCAGTAGACTCTCAATTCATCAAATGGAAGTCCATTCATTCAAACACTACACACTGCCTTTATTTATGAAAAACGGGTTAAGTCAGAAGATGCTGCAAGAAGCAGTATTAAAGGTGATCGATACTCGTGTTAAATGCAATGGAACAGTTTATTCTGAAGTTTAAATTGAAATTTGAATACCAGCTCATAGTCAGCAATTCCCTTTTAAAATGTTTGGCTCCCTTGTACTGTTGGGCCCGGGAGCCTGCAGACGCTTCATTTTCGATGTTGTGTTTAAAAGATGCTTTTAAGATGAAAGTAGATGCCGCCAGTTGTTTATGTGAGGGAAATCAAACACATTGCCCTGTGATCTAGCTACTAGAAAGTCACCCTTCTGTAAAATTGACTTGTAGTCCTTTGTGTGGAGTGTGTTCGCTTTATCATATGAATACAGCGTTGTTAACATGTCCAAGGGGGTGTATGCTCTGCATAGTGCTCTGGTCTCATCTTTCAATTAGGGGAACGAGTTACAAACATTTACAAGAATTAAAGAATCAACTTGAGGGGACGACGAAATTCCTTTCCATATATCGGAAGGATTTAGGTTGAAATTTTAAATACCACACATGATAAGTTAACCTATAAATTTTAAATTATTACGACATGGCAATAGGCGAGCGCGAAGTACAACGTAGACGCATCTCTGTTATTTCTATGACTTCACCCCACTCACTTTTCTTTCCCAGTGATAAAATGGTTGCTGAATCTACTTTTTTTTCGTAAGTCGAGTTTGTGCTTTTAAACTTGCGGTCAGGCAACTAGAAATCAGTTGACTGGTTGATATTACATTAGTTGGGAGCGTCTGGCTGGGAGAAGTTTGAAGAAAAGCACGCCTGTGGAAATCAACACTTGGTTGAAGTGTTATTTTTTACACGTAACTACATTTTGTTTTAAGAATTTACTTATCTGGGATACAAGTCTGCTGGGAAGGTAAATATTTGTCGAAATACAAGCATACAAGGTTGAATTAGGATAGCTGTCTTGAGAAGTTCGTAAACCAGCAAAAAGAGGTAAAGCATTCACAACAGGAATGAATTCTTGTCACTTTGTGGCCCTCACGAAATATAAATAGTCTCAATTTAAACAGGTTCGATTCTGATTCGTTAGATGGATTACAAGATATTCGTTTCATGTACTACCACCATTTACTACACATAGGTTAATTGTTACATTAATACGACCGATACTACGACACAACACTTTTTAAAAAATAGAACATCGTGTTAGCATATTGAAACGAGTACTTATTTTAATGGATAACATCAAGTTAATAAACATAAATGATTTTTTGTTGGAAAAAAACGTACAAAAACCGAATACTAAACATGCCAAAAAGTCCGAATTAATTTGGGGTATAGGCCTCACCTCCCAGAACAATGAATATCGGTGATGACTGCCACAGATGAATAGTCAAGAGTTAATGCAGAAATTTAAAGCTAAAACAATACATTTGACTAGAGTCTGGTGGGCAAAGAAAATAGAAAGTCACTCTTTCAGATTCGGGTTTACTGAATTAGTTATAATGTTGCTTTAAATTCCACATTACCGTTTTTCAGGTAAAACCCGCACAAAAGACAAGTACAGGGTGGTTTATACGGATCATCAGAGGCTTGAGCTGGAAAAGGAATTTCACTACAACAGGTACATTACTATCAAGAGAAAATCCGAACTGGCAACCATCCTAGGACTCTCAGAAAGACAGGTTCGTTAACACAATATTGAGTAGAGAAATCTGCAGTGATGTTGGAAAATATTCATACATACAACACGCCCTTCTCCTGCCAGATTGGAATTGCGATCTGTGAAATAGTTACTCTTGTTTTCAACATTGACCTAAAGTTTCTACGCACTCAAGTCAAGCATCTCATATCATTGCCTCTTCCATGCCTGAACTCCAGTCAGATATTCAGACACTTGCTGTGCATTTCCGTCATTTTCTGGTTTTATTTCTGAAAATCGTATGTTTCTTTGAAAAGGGAGTATGGTCTCTCAAAGCTGCACAGAGACAATTTTGCTTTTTCTACTTTTGTATGAGTCCCTCAGAGAAAGCCTGCTGGTCAAATCTTTCAGCTAGTTTTATTCTTGTGACTAAATCACGATTAAATGAAAATCACTTCATTGCAAGAAGAAATATCCTTACTGCTCAGTGGTGTGAGCTTATTCATACCTGTCAATAAAAGGATTGTTTAATTCATTATTTACTGCTATGAAGCTCATATAGGACTCTTTAAACTTAAAAATCTCCCAACAATTGGCACCCCTAACAGAAGCAAATAATATTATTTACAAAAATGGGGGGGGAGAGCAAATGTCCAGGGTGGCTGTGGAGAAGGGATAGAGGTCAACAAAAACTAATCTAAGAGATGAATTTTGTGGCTGTTTCTAAAAATAAGGAGGTTTGACTTGAAAAAGAATTTTTTTCTGTAGAGACCTGATATTGAATGAAAACAGAAAATGGACAAGGCCAATGAGAAAGTGTTCAGGAAAGTTAATGACACCTAGGTATTACATCACAAACATGAATTCCTCCTTTCAAATGGTGACTGGCCATGTATATTTCCAGCATTTTCAATTTTCATTTCAGAAAATCAGCATTTACAGTCTTTTCTCATTAACTGAAGGCTGTAGATCTGCAAGGTAAACAATACAGTCAGCATACAGTAAAAAGTAATTTCTCATGTGAAGTGTTTGGAAACATTTCAAGATGAGGTATGGGTGCTAAAGGACAGTGGAAATATATGACTAAACATAAGAATATACAAGTTTGGAGCAGGAGTAAATGATTTGGCTAAATCAGCCTGCTTCACCATTAATGGAGCTCTCTATTCCCAAAAATCTGATGAATGATTAAACTTTTCAGTACTGCAACTCATAGTTTGGTACACAAGACAATAAGGGTAGAGAAACCAAGGGTAGTAAGTAGTTAGAATCACATCAGCCACAATGTGCTTGAATGGTGAGCCTCCTTGGACAGACTGAATGAACTACCCATGTCCCTATATTCCTAAAGTAAAAGTTCTTACAAATTTTGCTACTTTGTTCCCTATCTATTGCAATATGCCTTACAGTTTTAATTCTGTTTTGACTTAGGTTAAAATCTGGTTCCAAAATCGAAGGGCCAAGGAACGGAAGATGACCAAGAAACAGTTAGCTCAGTCTGATGGTTGTCTGGCTCCCCATGGTCCGGGCCCAGGGAGTCCTGTAGAGATGCCAGGGCAGATGCTGCTTGGGGGCCACATTTCTGGAGGTCCGCCCGTGGGGAATATGGCCCAAGTAACTGTCACACTCTAACCAGTGCACAACAGCAAGGACCTCAGAGCTTGTGAGGATGACACAGCCATATACCAGAATTATGTACAGAGAGCACTCCATTTAAGAAAGAAAAAAGGCGCTTTACATTTTCAGAAGATGTGAATTTTATGGATATCAGGGAATGATTCCAATTTATAACGTCAATGTAATCACAAACAGATGCATGATATACAGATCAAACTTTGACTTCAACATTAAAAGTTATTCAAAAGATTTTTCTTTCAAGAATCTTGGTAACATTTCTGGCCATATCGAGTTGATTATTTAAATCATAATTTTGGATACTAAATAGTAAAAGCAATACACATTCAAAAAACTTTGAAAAGACTTTTCAAATATTCTAGTGGGGAAGTCACTTCTAAACATAGAGCATTTTGTCGCCTGTTGTATTATTAAAAGTGGAGTCGTATTCTGTAAACAATGCAGAACTGTATACTGGTACTCAGCTAAATACACATGTTTTCTGGTGTTGTGTGTTCAGCAAATTGATCTCTGGTCCCAATTGCTGTGCTTCATGTTTTTGAAAAAAATCTAAAGCTGTATTAACATACAAGAATTAGTTTTCTGACATCTTAAGGTACAAATTGTTATCTAACTTGTTAATAAAAGGGTGTTTGGGGTGCATTTCATTCTGCATGTATAGTACCAAGGAGCAAAACTACATGGATTTGGGCCATTTGGAATTTTTATAAGTTTTAAAGTGTGGGAGATAAATTAATTAGTAAAAGCTTAAACGTAAAATCATTTTTCACAGGTGTGGACTATCTAATACAGGATTTTGAGCTACTGGTTTGGAATGCCACTAGTCAGTGCATCTGTAATTTGAGCTCCTGTTGGCCAATGTTAAGGACTAAAGGACCCATTGCTGTATTCCTGTGGACACTAGTTACCAGATTCAAAGAGATGAGCTGAGTTATGCTTCTATAAAACAGAAGCTGCAAAGATTAGGGTGGGGAAGGAATATATAATTGTACCAAAATACTGCATTGGAAAAATGAGTGGATCTATCAAAGTAGAATGTCCTCATGGTCCGCCCTGAATCTGGTCCAGAAGTCTCAATAAAACAAAATTACAGAACTCAACTTTTGGTAACAAATTATTTAACAAGATAAAAACAGAACTTAAAAGTTGCAGAAGTGTTAGCCTCTTTTGCTTTTACTGTCAGAAAATCACCAACATATTACTTACACTCAGACTAATAACAATCATCTGCAACTGTAGATATGTTCCAATCAGGCAGCTTGCTGCTTACACAGCCTGGCCAGAGCTTTCATTTCTACTAGCCAGCAGAGAATTTAGTGCATTTTTGGTTACAGGCAACCTCACAGCTTCCCTCTCAACAATTACTTATACATTTTTAAACAGCATAAGTGATGGTGTCTGCATTCTCAAAGCATCTGAGATAAGTGAAAACATACTTTAAAAGTGTTTACAGAGGATCTAAGTATCTGCAACTATTTTATATGCTCTTTCAAATGCAAGAACTTACTATACACTGTGATTTAAAGTTGTATTAGAAATGCAATCTGCTTTACCATGTTCTCTTGTCAGCAAGTTTGAATCGTTTCAGTTTAAACACAACTAGAATCATAGTCCGAGGCACATTTAAAGATTGGGGTGCAAGTGTGATCATCTTTCCTTAAGGCTTTGCTCCATGCTTGGCGAGTGGTACCCTTCAAGCTCTACATGATCAGTTGAGAGATTCTGTGGTCCGTTGTGAACTATGGCTCATTACTAGAACCCTGCATTTAAGTTCAAGAAATCACCAATTAGATAAAGTTCACAGATCACATGTCCAGCAAAAGCATAACTTAGGGCCAGGTATGTATTTTATCACCATATGTAAGGTGTATTTTTTATTTCTAAACATCTTATTAAATCAGAGGGTAAATATTTCTTACATCAGAATGTGCACACTGTGCTCTTGTTATTTTGCATGTTGACATTTCTCCATCCTGTTTAATGCCAGCCAACAACAGAGTGTAACAAAAGATAGCTAGCATTTACATTTGTTCTTCTCCCTGCTGCACTGAGGGTATTAACTCTGTCTAAGATATGGAACTGGATTTTCAATCACTGACAGGTTTGTGACCTAGTCTGGGAGCAATTTACCAAATGCAGAGATTAGCTCTGGGACAATTTTCACAGTGCTGTCTGGGAGAGGGAATGAAGAAACCCACTTGTCTGCGATTGATGTCCCATTTGTCTCTTATAAGAGCTTGTAACAGGCTGAGCGCTTCAATTTTTAAGGGAGATTTTGGAAAATGAAACATTTTTGTGTGAGGTGGTGCACAATTATTGGATTCACAGTGGGGTACAGAGTGTTTTCTTTATATATTGAAAATTATTGGGGGGCCTTAGCTCATGGCTGGATTGTGCCTTTGCCTCTGTTTTGCTGTTTGGTCACCTCTCTTATGGTGTTTCTTGTGGCACATGGGCCCCTGCACCTCAGCCAGAAGCTCCATTGGAAACTCACCCCAAATTATCAACCTGTAAATCCTTCAACCCATGCCAATGGTAGATCTTAAGAGTGGGAAGATTTCTGGGCAATCGTGATAGAAAGTAAGTTGGGACCCTTAGCGTCACTGTCCGCTGATCTGGAGAAAACAAATGTTGCCACATTCTTGTCAGAGCAACTCAAGACCTCCTCACTTTGCCTTTATGCACCCAGCCCTCTTTTGAGGAGCTGCCTACCTACTTTCTTGCACAGGGCAGTAGCAGACATCCTCCCACCTATGAAGGTTGCACATGTTACAGCTTGCAATCTGCAGACAGCTGCTGCCTCTCTAAGACACATCCATTTACCCCTGCACCAATTAAAGCATCTGTATTTCCATATCTTACATTATTGATAAAGTGATACATGATTCATTTTCTGAATTTGTCATTGCCTGGCCTGGCTGGGGAATCTAGAACATGGGGTCTAGTCTCAGGGTGAAAGGCTGATCATTTAGGACTGAGATGAGGATAATTTATTTCATTCAGAGTGTTGTGGAGTTTTGGAATTCTCTACCTCAGAGAGTTGTCTGTGCTCCATCATTGAATATATTCAAAGTCTGAGATAAAGGAGAGTCTTAGGAAATTCCACAATATGGTGAGCAGGCAGGAGTGTAGAGTTTAAGCAAAATATCAGCTAGGCTCATCTTGAGCATCTTGTCATTGATTGGATTAAGGATAAGTGAATCAAAAATGTCCTCATTCTCACAGAGAAGATGGTTATTTATATTCGCAGTTGCAAGAAGTCAAAAACTTAGGCTGTTTCTGAATTTTGCTTTTCTGTCATTAACCACTTTCACTTTTCACATTTCCTCCATCTGTGCAATTAGCAGATCATATAGTAGATGGCCAAATGTATTTGCAACTGACTAATGCTTAAAATGAGGATCTAAGCAGGGACAAACTTCATACAATGGAATCTTTAGTATATTTTGCATTCTGCTCAAAACTTTGAAGAACAAGCATAGAATCTTTGAAGAATAAATATAGCATAAGATTGAAAAAACAAAGATAGCATAAAATAACATTATCAAGTATCACTATTCGCTTTTCAATAAGTTCATATTGGTTAATTGAGATTCCTTTTAAGAGATTGGATTAGTTTGGCAGATTTAGTCTGTCAAAAGGCTTGTTTTATGAATTTAATTATTTTAGTTAAATTCTAAATTAAACATCAGAAAAGTACATTCTCTCTTGCTTTACATGTTTCTAATCAAAAGACAGGAATGGGAATGTAAAATTTAATCATAAACCTGGAAATCAGATGCACAAATGAATGAATTAAGGAATGAAGGAGCAAATATTCTGAGTTTTAAGTAAGGGTACTAAGATCTTAAATGAAACTTAAATTGCATCTTATAAATTCTATGCTAATTACAAAGCTAAGCTGTGCTTATTAGACTCAGATGCTAATCGAATGGTGAGAGTAAGATGAGAAGTTATAATTTTTGCACTATTCTCTGCTCAGGTGAAATGAATTCTGCTAGATAAATGCAAATTATGTGCATATGTGTGTGTATTTCATACATGTGCAGAAGTCTGGCTGCTGACAGCTGGTGAAACCTCTAATGATAGAAAAGACTTGATGGGATACTTGGCTTTCTTCAAACACTCAAAATGGAAAGACATCAGTGGGCTCACAAATCTTTTCTCAAGTTGCCAAATGTTTTCACAAAACTGTCAAACATTGCAAAAATAAAAGCATAAACACCATCCAGCCTGTATAAATGGTCAATGTTGTGATAACATTCTTTAAATCTTACTGTTTCACCTCAGTTGTATTCCAACCAATAAAAAGCTGAAGACGTGAGAGCGTGTCTTCTCCAGCCAGTCTTTCAACCAATTGAAAATACCAGACATCCAGTACTGTATTATAAAAGGAAAGGCAGTCTTCCCCACGGAGTTCAGCATTATAGGCTATGGACATTGATAAGCATCATTTGTTGTAGTGGTCACAACAGGCTGGCATTTTCCTTCCAGATAGAATTGTTCAAATAATGAAATGTTAGCCTATGCATTGTGTAGAAAGAATCACCCCCAAAATTGGAAAAGCTAACCATAAACCTAATTACAAATATCCAAATTATGATTTCCAGCAACTGAAAACGTGTATCAAAAACAGAAAAATGCCAAAGACCCAGAGCAAATCAGGCAACGTTTGTGGAGACAATATTTCAGACAATGATCCTTCAGCAAAACCTAAATGTTGCTTTAGCTTTCCAGCAGCTGTCACTTTTTATTTTCATTTATAAATGTACATCTATTATTTCCATAGCGCATTGTAAATGGTGGCTATTCCAGAGCACTGGGAGCCTCCAGCACATTGCAGAGTCAAAGTGGTTCCAGATCAGAAAAGCAGCCTTCATTCTTCACAGAGATGACAAGGTGT